AAAAAAAAAAAAAAAAATAAAAAAATAAACAAATAAATATTGGTATAAGTATATTTGCTATGGACCCTACCTACTATAAATATCTGGCCCAATATATAGAGAAGCAATACTTACCTATCACCGTCGACCCTGCCCAACAAATATAGATAAAGAAGAAAAATGTCTACTTTGAAGTAAATAAAGGGTTCTTGTACCAAAAAGATCAAAGGAATAAAGAAAAGTTGCTCTGAGTCTTACAGCCACACGAAGTTGCTCCAGTTCTTTTTCTGATATATACGTACCCTTTAGGTAGATACTTCAACCAGGATATCATGTTCGAAACGATCTGTAGTATATACTTTTAGCTCCAGATATATGCCAATATCTAATGCTACGTTCAAATTTGCGATCTATGCAACGTCAAATTCGAATATATGAACAAGGCCTATTGCACTCACTGCCTATAACTGCACCTTTTTACAAGATTGGAATTAATTTCGTTGGCCCATTGTCTCATATTCCTAGAATAAACTAGTACATTATCGTTGCCACAGATTTTATGACCTGTTAGCCTGAAATATGTGTTGTGCAAAAAGGAGATTTGCAAACTGTTGTGAAATTCATATATGATAATATAGTCCGCTACCATGGATGCCCTGACTGAATCTTGTCAGACTATAGAACACACTTCAGAAATGAGATCATTAAGCACTTACTAATTAAATTGAGAATTAGACAGAGTTTTTCTACTCCGTATTACCTTCAGACAAACAAATGGCTTTGTTGAACGTTTTAACAAAACCTTGTGCAAAGCCATTGCCAAGCTGGTGAAAAATGTTGTTGATTGGGCCTGTTGATCCTCTTGGTGTTGTTCACTTATCGTACTGCTTGAAATTTGATGACCCAAATGTCCTCTTTTCTACTTGTCTATGGCTGAGAAGCAAAATTACTGATCTATCCAAGCCAAGATGAAGAAATACTAGAAAGAGCCATCTTTCAATAGTTATTAGATTTTGTACAAACCATGCCCTCACTACGAGAAAGAGCCCATATTCAAGTTACTCAACAACAAGCCCAGGTCAAAGATCATTACGATAAGCATCAACAAATAAGTGCTAGATTCAAAATTGATAAAAAAGTTTTGCTAGAAAATGCTGCCAAAAAGTATTCCTGTAGCAACAAATTTACTTCAAAATATAAAAGACCGTTTTACATCTATAACAAGTTGATAAATGATGCGTATAAACTACAAATGATGGATAGCAAGGTAATAACAATACTCTTCAACCTGCAGCTGCTAAAAAAATATTTTAAACAATCAGAGAGTTAAAAAAAAAAACTTTGGATTGTAAGCGAATATGCATGACAGTTGTATGCAGGGTTAAGGAGTATATGACAAGAGTAATTCTGTTGATTCTCTTCATATGAGATGTGGATGTGTTTTTTTTTTTGTTAAGTTTTTGTTGTGTGTATTGTTGTTTTCTTTAATTTTTTTTGTTTTAAGTTATGTGAGTTTTT